TGCCCTTGTTCTTGAAAACGCTAAACACTAAAAGGCATGATTCTTGCCGGAAATTGATAAAACTTGGTTTTATTATTCAGTACCGCGCTGAAGATTGAATATTTGCTTTCTAAAGTTTTCACGAGATAAAAATTGAATATGTTTTCAAGAAGAAAGGCAATAACTCATACTCAATATTATTCAGTATCACCCTAAAGAGTTCAGAAGAAGTGAATGACTGAAGGTTGAATATTTCATACTGGTGATTATTACTGTACTGCTAAATATTTTTATTAAATCAAAGCTGCCAGTGGGCGTATATTACCTTGCCTGGCAAGCTATCTTTTATTATGAAATACTTATGATTGAAATACTTTCTCATGTGAAAAAATATTGTTATGGATTTCAGGTTTCGTTTTGAGGTTCAGATCGTTAGTACTTGGTTTATTTATTTATCACCAATAACAACTGATCCTTAGCCTAACGAATTGCCATTGGTCTTTGATTCCTTGATTATCTGTACTAATATAGGCTACAGCTTAAACACAATTGGAGTAATTAGGGAAGATAACTTATTCAAGGTCACTTGATCACAGAGATTAGAATTTTGAATGAAAATATTTAGCAGTACAATAACAATCACCAGTATGAAATATTCATACACTTCTTTTGAACACTTTAGGGCGATACTGAATAATATTGAGTATGAGTTATTGCCCTTGTTCTATTTTTGGTTTTATTATTCAATATTTGAATATTTGCCTCCTAGAGTTTTCACAACTCTAGAAGGCAAATATTCAAATATTGAATAATAAAACCAAGTATTGTCAAAATCCGGCAAGAATCATGCCTTTTAGTGATTAAGAGCTAAAATTTGAAAGCGTTTTCAAGAACAAGATCGATAAAATCAAAAATATCCCTATCATCTACATAACATTAGTGAATTAGACATTTCAACTTAGCATCGAATTTTGGCACTGATGCCCTTCCAGACTATAGCACGGTAATAGATAAAAGATCTTGTGGGAAAATAATGACGACGAAAAATTAATCGATTGATGGTGTATAAGGAAATGTGTTAAATTTAAGAAAGGAGGGGTAATCGGCCACGGACTAAGATCATTAAGTTTTATATTTCGGCTATATGCCATCACTAAATCTTTTGTAAAAACAGTAGGAAATTTTTCTTGTAATTCTTTGTATATGCGAATAATTAATCGAGGAACTTGACCAGCTGTGATGTTGTATTGAATAACAAATGGAATAATTTGAAAGTCTACTTGTATATCAATTCTAAAGGGGTGCATTGTTTGTAATGTGTTAATCCAAAAGTTTTCGTGAATTAATGGAATTTTCTTAGTATCTATACCAGGTTGTTCATACAGCTGCTCAATATGAATAATTTTCAGGTCTGTTAACTGATGATCGAATTGATTTAAGTGTTTTTATACTGTTTTATTAAATTTTTAAAGATTGATGTCAGATTTGTGGTGATCGAATCGAACCCTTAATAAATTCTTGGTCTCTCCAACGTATTGTTTATTTCACCTTGTACAAGAAATAAGATAGATGGTATTTTTACTGTTACAACTAAGTTTTTCATTAACTTGAAAGATAGAACCTGTACGTCTATTTCGGAAAGAATTAGTAGATAAAATGAAGGGACAGGTTTGACGAATTTGGTAATGGTATAAGGTTAGAATTATTTTTGGCTGAGATTTCTCGCAAATTTTTGAAAACAATAGTACAGGCCTACTTGAAGTCCATCTTGCTTATTAATGCCAATGACGCAAAAGGCAATAAAAAGTTATCAATGTATTCTGATTCTCTGTACGACTCGCTTGTACAATCTGATATTATTGGGCGTCCTTTAGGAATTCTAATGGGTAGGAACCATTCAGTCTCGAGATTTTTCTGAATTTTTGGGAGAATGTCTCTGCTATGGTTCTTGAGCTGGTTTTAGGTAATCAAATTGTTTTGGTTTAATATAGTCTTTATTAAGTAAGTTTTTATCAAGTAACTTTTTTGAAATATTTTTAATTAATATATGGGCTTTTTTGTAGATCGGATCCTGCAGACAAGTTTAATGTTCAGGATTTCTTAATTGAGATTCGGCCTCATCAGGAATGTTGATTTGGTTCTATATGCCGGACATGACCGACTGGGCTGCTGAAATTGCTGACGGTCAATATCCTCTATCGGACATCAAGTATAGGTTGGCCATTACGTGGCTTTCAATGTCGGTCAAATGCAAAATTTAATGACAACTCTAGTCTAAAGTCTTTGAATGGCATTTAGCAATTGTGAGTACGATATATAGACACAGCTTTATGGAACAACAATCACTGGTTAAAGTTTTATGCAACGTTTCGACGTGTTTCCCCCGTCGTCCTCAGGCACATAATGAGAAGAAGTGATGGGCAAACTATATATACAT